CTCGGTTCAGGGTTTGAGCTCAGAGTCGTGAGTTCCAGCCCCGCGTTGGGCTCTGCACTGGATGTGAAGCCTACTTTAAAAAAAGAAAGAAAAAGAAATGCGGAGGGTCTGAGATTTTACTTTGTTTATAAGCTAACAGGTGAGCCTGCCGGTTTCATAAGTGCTGGCAGAAAACACGAGACTCTTGGGTCAGAGACAAAAGGCTTTATTACTCACAGTCCAGCAGGTGGAATGAGTTCATGTTCACATCAGTTCTCTTTGCCCCTAAGTTCCACGGGAGCATTGCAAAGCACCCCACATAGATCCCACACCACCTGCGTTTGCCACAACTGGGGATCCTAAAGCTTAGGAAATCCCCAGTCTTATAAGGGGGGCTCCTGGCAGTCTTATAAGGGGGGCTCCTCCCAGCCTTTGCCCTGGAGAGAGATGTTCTTTATTATACTGGTTAGGAAATGACTCTGCCCTCTGCCCTCTACCCCAGAGGAAGATACAGTTTTTGTCTTCCAAGGCTGTTTGCTATATGACAATCTTGAGAAGATAGTCCAGGGCAAAGCTCTCTGTGTCTCTTGCTCAGAAAACATGCAGACTTTGAGAGGCCCGTGGAGAATTGTCTCCCAACATCTCTGTGTAGGGCTGGTAAAGAGTCCATACGTATAAAATGCTTTACACAGCCTGGCATAGAATCAGAACTTAGTAAGTGTCAGCCGTTATCATTATGAGTCTCAGCATTTATCCTGCTCGTGGTATAACCTCTTCCTGACTAGTAGGAAGTCAGAGGTCTTCTGCTCTGTGATTTCCCCAGCTAGTGACGAGACAATCACAGTTTCTGTCCCTTCCGAGCAGTACGTAACCACTTATCTCCTAGGTTCCGCGATGCCTTAAAAACCCCCAGCGTTCACCTCCGTCTCCTCCCTCTGACTTCCCTGGCTTCTCGTTTTTAAACCGCTTTATTGAGGACTGATTTATATACCATGAAATTCATTCATTTTAAGGGTATAATTCAGTATATTCTTTAGCAAACCTACAGAATTGTGCAGCCATCGCTATAATCCAATCTCAGAACATTTCCAAACGACACCGTATGCCTACGTGCATTCCCTCCCCGTTCCCACGCCCCAGGCCACCACCGGTCTGTGTTCTGTCTCTGTGGATTCGCCGCTTCTGGGCATTTCGTGGAAATGGAATCCTACGATATGTGGCACTTTGGGTCTGGCTTCTTTCACTCTGCGTCGTGTTTTGGAGACTTGTCCATTACGTAGCACTTGGCAGTGTTTCCTTCCTTTTTTAGTGCTGAGTAGTCTTACATTCGGATGGACCACGGTTTGTATCCAGTCACCTTCGCTTCACTGTCTTTTCCAGCATACTGTTGATGGAAGCTTTTTGGGGCTCTGTCCGTTAGGGAGCAGGCACTGACTGCTAGCCCTCAGATCCCTGCCTTGTGCTTCCTGGGCATTGTCCCGTTGTCATGGTCCTTTTAGGAGTTCTAGCTCACTTAAGAGAGAGGGACAGTTTGGCAGACAGAGTTTTGGAGCCTTTTTGAATCACATGACAAACCCACTTCCATGGAGCCAGGCCAAGCCCCAGAAAAAGAGGCATGCACAGTGATTTTATAGGCTGCCTTCCTCCACCTCTTCCCAGTTTTGTCTCCATGGCAGCCCCACACAATCATTAAAAGAGCAGAAGGAAAGGTTTCTGGTGCTTTCCTATACAGTGGCCTTATTTCCTTTGATATTCCAAATAGGATGGTAACTACCAGGTAATTCCGTGAAAAATATCTAAAATCCTGAATTAAGGGAAATCTGCCTTTGTCACCCTAACCCCCGACCACAGAGCATCTAGGGGTGTGTTTGGTTGACCGAGGATTCTATCTGCAATAGGGAAGAGCCCAAGACTATTCTTAGCTATTCCACCCGATGAGATGAAGTTTTCCGACCTGATTTGCTAGCCTTCCTTCAAACGACCAGACCTCTCTGTTATTATTAAAGTCCTCCATCTGGATTTGGGGGTGCTGCGAGACCCAGGAATTCCTTCTAATTTGGGAAGGTGTTCTGGTTACCTATCGGGGTGTAACATACAGCCACCCCCAAAGTTTAGTGGCTTGGAACAGAATCAGTCACTTATTACGGGTCTGCAGCAGGTGCAGGGCTGTGTGGGGCCGGTTCATTTCTACCCCACACATGGTGTCCGCGGGGGTGGCTTACCTGGGCTCGCCCACATGACATGGGGTTGTTCCTGGCTGGCATCTTCTCTCCACCGAGTAGCTTGAGCTTCCCCACAGCAGGGCGACTGGGTTCCAAGAGTGATCAGACCAAAAAACAGGAAGGGAAAGATGCCAGTTTCTCAAGGTTTGGGTTCCACGTCATTTCTGCCACAGTCCGCTGAATAAGCAATTGCAGAGCCCAAATTCAAGAGGAAGGGGCATAACCCTTGCCTTTTGATAGAGGAGTGGCAGGCAAAGTGGGGCTGATGTTTGAAGACCCACGTGGCTGGAAAGTGATGTCAGTAGGTCGAGAGGTTTGGGAGGAAAATGCTCCACAGCACAGATGGGCCCGTCTCAGAATAAGACATTCCTTACCACTTCATGTTGGCCAAAGTTGGTTTGGGCCAAATTCCATTTTGCCTTATGGGGCAAGCCTGAAGCAAGTCCCCACCCTGTCTGTTCTATGCCCCCAGGGCAGTGCCCCTACCCCCCTCCCACCCCCCCCACCCCCCGAGGGACTGTGTCCTTGAAAATCCAGGCTTTCTTGCCCAGCCTGAGAACTAGAAAGACCCACAGGTGATTTGGTGGGGACAAAGCACCTGTTGCTGCTCTAGGCCCCTAGCACCTGCTTTAATGGAATCCAAAGAAGGCTTCCCAAACACAATTTCCTTCACCTTTCACCAAAGCTTTTAGGAGAAAATGGCCAGAGCTCTCTGGATACCTTCTAGGAACACACAGTGAGTCATAACCCCAGCCCAAACCCAGTGCTGCATGACTGACTGGCTTTGTTGTTTGGACGACCTCGAATTTTTTTTTTTTTTTCAGGCCCTGGTCAGCAGGCCTGTGCTCATCTGCATGGGCTGTCTTAGCAGCAGATTGCCAGGGCCAGGGTCCTTTATGGACCTTTCCTAGGATTCAGGGTGAGAAGACCAGGGTTTGAGTGCTGACTTCTCTTCGTGGCTGTAGGACAGCCCGCAAAGCATTTCACTTCCCTGGGCCTTGGTTTCCTTTTTCTCTCAGGCAGGGATACTATTCAAAGATATCTTGAGGATTGAGTAGACAGTATACCCAAAGCAGTCCACAGTGCCCCCCCCCAATAGCTGCTCAGTTAATGGTAACTATCATGAATGATTATTTTCTGCATAATAATGAGGTTTTTGGAAATGGGAGCCACCCCAAGGGAAGCCAACTTTACATAAGATCTCATTTGCTATTTTCAAAGAAATAATCCCTGGGTCCTCTTTGGTCCCTTGTAAACCACACATTTGGAACTAGATGTCACTGTACACATTTTACCTTGAGCTCCAGAAAGTTCTCATTGCATTTGTTTGACTACCTTGAGAAAACCGAGTGTGTTTTGTCTCCAATCAGAAAAACGTACTCACTGGGTGCTGTCACTGCGGTCTCAGACATGTGGCCAGCAGGTAAACTGCCCAGCCTCAGTGGGAAGGCTCAGTCAGAGCCCAGTGAAGTTCATCTGGAGACCTAGAATTCTCACGTTTGTCCTTCCAACAAATCCTTGTTATCTACTGTATACCAGCCCCTTGCCAGGCCCTGAGGTTCCAGCAGTCAAGAAAAGGACCAAGACCCCACAGTTTATTCCAGAAGGGAGAGAAGAACAATAAACAATAAGATACGATTAAACATATCTATCCAAAGATGTAATATGTCAGAAGTAAGGGTGCAAGTATTAACTGGGGTGGGTGCCGTTTGAAATACAGAGGTCAGGGAAAGCCTTTCTGGGGATGTGACACTTGGGCAGAAACATAAAAGAGGTAAAGAAAGGAGACCAACGTCCACGTGGGTGAGAGATAGCAAGTGCAAAGGCCCTGAGACAGGAGAGTGCTGGGTACGTTTCAGGAGCAGCCCGAAGGCCGGGGTGGCTAGGATGCAGAGAGAGATAGGAGTGGCAAGAGGTGGGGCAGAGGTAAGGAGTGGCCAGGCCACACAGAGCCTTGCGGGCCATTGTTAGGACTTTGGCTTTTGCTCTGAGTGCATTGGAAGACATGGGGGTGTTTTGAACAAAGAAGAATTATGAGATGTGGGTTAGGTTCTCGCAGGACCCCAATACAGGAAAGTGCAAAACGGGGTGTGTTTTTACTGTGGGGGACAGAAGGAAGACAGGAGGTGACTGCATTCCTCCAGGAAGAAAAGGATGGTGACCTGGCCCAGGGGCCGTCCGAGGTGAGAGGTGGGCACGTATCTGTCAGATACCTTCTGGAGGCGGATCTGGCAGAGCTTGCTGAGCCTGTAGATATTCTATGATGCCCTGTTGGTGGCTCCACAGGAGTCCCTCATTACCAGGCTCAGCAGGACAGGTGGCTGGACCCATCTGGCCTCTGTGCACCTGGCGAGAAGGGGCCTCGCACATCCATGCCCTGGGACCCAGGCACCGAGCTAGACCTCCCCTGGTGTCCTCCAGGTAGGGTCTCAGAGAGAGCTCTGGACTGGAAAACCTAACCATGTGTGACATTCCCCAGCTGTGTGACCTTAGACGAGTCCCTTCCCCCTCTGAATCTCAGCTTTCCTGTCTGTACAATGGGAGCTATGAAGCCAGCCCGGCTACCTCCTAGAGGAGTCGTGACAATCCAGTGAGATGCAGGTTGGACATGAGCTTCGGAGGCAGCAAAGGACGACACTCACGAACGGGTCAAAGTCTTAGGTATCCTTAGTAGGGCAGTTTGAGCATTTCGGGAAACTTTGACCTTGGCTCAGGTCAGGCCACAGCCATGGCTAAATCAGCATCCTTCACTTTGACGTAGTGGCTAAAAGGCCCTGGATTTGGACAGAACTGAGGAGAGCTTCTAGCTCCATACTGTGAGGGGCTGTTTCCAGAAGAGGCAGCTAAGAAACAACAGGTAGTCCCCCCAGTTTATAGCAGGACCGGCCTTCGAAGCTGGGGATTCGCTTGTGCCCACATTTATTTATCAGGAGCCACATTCCCAGTGGCAGGGCTGGCCCTGCTTCTGGTCACTGTCCCCCAGGGGCAGCTAAATGTGGAACTGTGGATTTACTGTTCGTGTCCTCTGAGCCTCCCCGGTCTCTCCCTGAAGAGAACTGGGACAGGGTCCCCTCGGGCCAACAGAAGCCTGGGAGACTTCTAAGACTTCTATTTTTTGAGACTCCCAGAATATTAATTTATCTAAAAACAACAAAAAAAAAAAAAAAAAAAGAAGAAGAAGAAGACATCCCTCAAGTTACGGTTCACTTAAAATATTCAACTGACCAAACTCGTGCTTTTGACCCACGTGCATGAAATTACCATGCAACATAGAAGTGTGAGGCTCACAAGATAACCGCGGGATTTGTTTTCTTTATCTATACATTTATATCGGAAATTCACGGTGTTTTCTCCTAGTGAGCCGGTGACAGAATGTAAGGGTGACGTGGCTCAATGAACCTAGCCTTTGCTCGTCCCCTCTCTGTCTCTGTTTGTGTGCGTAACCCATTTAGAGATAAGGTCAAAATCCTAAAAATGTTGGCATGCCAGTTCTGTGGATAGGTAATATATTTTCTCAGTATAAAAGTCAAAGTGTTCAAAAGGGCACACGGTGAAAAGTCCTTCCCTCTGCCCCTGTCCCCAATCCCTCTGCCCACCCCCCCACCAGAGGCAGCCACTGTTACCAATTTCTTCTGATCTGTTCCAGAAATAGTGTATCCATATATAAGTAAATCCAAATCCATATGTGTACCTTCTTTTTTCTTTGCTTTTTTTGAAATGGGAGCTGGTTGTACATGATGTTCTCATCTTGCTTTGTTTGTTGCTAATAGGAATTGTTTCCTATGTATGCATATTGGGCCACCTCATTCTTTTATAGCTGCATCGTATTTCATTGGGTGGATGGCCCACTGTTGATTAACTTTTCCCCTGTTGATGGACACTGAGGTTGTTTCCAAACTTTCTGATCTAATAAGCTATGGTGCAGTGAGTAATCTTAAGTCTCTATCATGAAAATTCTTGTTTAAGCCCTTTAGGGGTTGTGAGGTCTGGGAGGAATGGCCTCTCCTTTGCACACTGCCAACCCTTTCCTGGAAGCTGAGGTTTGAGGATAACGTCAAAAAATGGGGGAAGAATGTTCCCGACAGAGGGGACTTCAGTGCAAAGGCCCTGGGGCAGAAATGAGCTCAACACTGTAGGAGAACACTGAGAAAGCCATTGTGGCTGGAGCATGTGAGGGGGTGAGTAGCACAAGATGAGGTTAAAGAGGCCGTGGGGGGCGGAGGGGCACGAGTGGGCCATGGTGAGGTGGGATTGAGTAAATGAAGCCACATCCATGACAACCGAAAAGACATTATGTTGCAAGAGACAGACATGGCCCTCTCCTGACCTCTGGTTCCTGGAGAGACTGGTGGTCCCTCCCCTCTTAGAGCATTCCCCAAGGTCACCCCCAGAAAGGAAAGAGCCCAGTGCCTTGCCACAGCTCTGCAGATTTGCCTCTGGCCCATCCCAGTGCCCACACTGGCCTGGGCCAAGCACATTTTAGGAAGGATGGAAACCTGGGGGGGACTGCAGTAGGGCTGGGCATATAGCCACCCTACAACACTCTTTGTTCCGTCATTTGGTGGTCAGCCCCTGTCTGTCTTAGCTCAAAGAGCCCCTCTTCACCTTACCCACCCGCCAAGAAGCCTGGTCTGAGGCCAAAGCTGGTCTGCCCCAAGGGAACTCAGTTCTGCCCCTGGTAAGCTGTGGGCAGCCCGCTTCGCTGCTCGCAGGGGTGAAGGTGGTGAAGGGGCTCATGGGGTGAACAGCACCTGCCTTTTGGGGCTGGAGCAAAACGTAACAGGTAAAGCACACAACGCGTCCTGAACAAGGCCTGGCACAGAGAGCTCAGGAGGGTTAGCCGCCTGCTTTTCCACGGGTGCCAATCCCTGCTCTGTCCTTTTGGTCAGTAGCTCAGGAAGAAGGTGTTGCCAGCCGGGTCCAGCCCTGTGCCCCCAAGTGGTTTCTTTTTTAATGTTTATTTTTGGGAGAGTGCAAGTGGGGGAGGGGCGGGGGGGCGGACAGAGGCTCCGAAGCGGGCTCTGTGCTGACCCTGTGGAGTCTGCCTGGGAGTCTCTCTCTCCCTCCCTCTCCGCCCCTCCCCTGTCCTCGCTTGTGTTCTCTCTCTCTCTCTCTCTCTCTCTCTCTCTCTCTCTCAAAATGAACTGTAGCGAATGGATGGTAGGGGTGGGGAGGACGCAGGGACACCAGTGAGGAGGCAGGTGGAATAGTCCTCGTGGGACATGTCAGTGGCCTGGACCAGGTGACGGTGAGGTGAGCAGCGGTCAGACTCTGGGTCTGTTTTGAGGGTGGAGCCCACACAGAGAACAGTCGAGGAGGCCTCTTGGGTTTGTGGCCTAAGGATCCGGGAGGAGGGAGCTGCCGTTTGCCAAAGCAGGAAGAACCCAGCAAGGAGCAGTTGGTAGGTTGTCAAGAACTTCACTGACCCTGTTTTCAGTTTTCGTTTGTTTTTTTTTTTTTTTTTTTTTTTTTTTTTTTGAGTAGGCTCACACCCAACGTGGGGCTCGAACTCATGACCCCAGAATCAAGAGTCGCATGCTCTACCGACTGAGCCAGCCCAGGCACCCCCCTCCACTCGACCTCGTTAAGTTTGACAAGCCCATGGGACATCCAGGTGTCCAAACACATCTCCTCCTCCCCAGCCAGGCCCCACCAGCCCAGACGGTGGGTGGAGGGGAGCCCGCCCTGTGGCAGGGATTAATTCCACGACCCATTTTCGTCTGCCTCCGGCTATCTGGGTCACCCGGACTGCAAGACCTCACCCCTCGGAGCCCATCCTACCCCAGCCGTCTTTTTCAGTTCTGGGAACCCCGCTGCCCTGAGAACGCTGAAAGAGGGAAACCAGAACACTCCTCTTCCCCTGGCCCCTCTCTGAACCCTGAATTTCTCTGCCTCTTTGCCTTTGCTCTTACTGTGCCCTCTGCCTGGGTTTCCCCTTCCCCTCTGCCACTCTCGCATATCCAACTTCTTTCCATCCTTTTATGCGAGCCTGGAAGCCTCCAAGAAACCTTCCGGGGTATCCGCTAGCATAACAGGAACCATATTTTGAATGCCTACTATGTGCCAAGCTCTGTAGAAAGTAATTTAACTTTCTGATCTCATCTAATCTCTGTGGGTAGGGATTATCACCTCTGGTTTACTGGTAAGAAGTTAGAGATGACAGGGGAAATCACTACTTCGAGGCCATTTGGGAGAAGTGGCAAACCGAACACTCTGTCATGTTCTATAAGGCAACTTAGGTACTTATCCTGCATAAGGGCCTTTGGGCTCCTCAAGAGCATAGATTGAATTTATTTAGTTTCTGCATCTCCAGAATCTAGCACAGTTCTCCATAAATGCTTCCCGGATGGATGGATGGATGGATGGATGGATGGATGAAGTAGAAAAAGACATTAAGTCATCAGGCTCCCCTCTCACCTTGGGAAGCATGTAGTTAGGACACCATCTCTTTTCAGAGAAGACAGGGAAGGGAACCCATCGTTTACTGAGCATGTGTTATGCACCAGACACTTTCCTAAGAACTTTATGTGCATTAATTCAATCAATCCTCACAAAAGCCCTATGAAAAGAGTACCGTTTATCCCATTTCTTAGCTGAGAACACTAAGGCTCAACGAAATCAAGCCACCTGCCACAGAAGTTAGAACCCCATGGATGATCATAACACAGCCTGTTGGTGGGAGGTGCCCCGGCAGCTACAGAAGCCCTGGAGAAGGGGGTCCTCCCACCCTAGGGCATTTGCACTTACCGGTCTCTGCCTGGGGTTCTCTGCCCCAGGTGCTTCTCATAAGCAGCCCCTTCACGCAGTTAGCTCTTAGCTCAAGCATCTCGTCTCAGAAAGGCCATTATTGGCCACCCCACTTAGTATGACTCCCGGGCATTTTCAGAATCACTTAGGATACAGATTGGCTGTTGCGATAGAGACTCGAGTAGCAGTGACTTGAACAATATCAGAGTTCTTTCTCAGTAAAGAGACGTCACCGGTTCTGGAAATGCGGCGTCTGCATCTGAGGCTGGTGTGGCCCCAGCGAGGTAGGAGAGCACAGTGGTGAACAGCATGGGCCCTGAATCTGTCTCCTACGACTTCAGACCCTACCACTGCTGCTCTCAACAGAGACCGAATGGACCTAGCACGCGGATCTCAGTCTCTCCGAGCCTCTGTTTCCCCCGTCTGAAACCAAGGTTGTGACCACACGCTTATCTCGTAAGGGTCCCAGGCACGAATCCCTGCAAAGAGTGTGGAACAGGGTCAGCAAACCTGGGCCCACAAGCCAAATCGAGCCCACGCCCTGTTTTTGTGTCAAGCTAACCGTGGCTTTTACATTCCCAAGGCACTGAGAGGTATCAAGAGAAGAGTTCCATTCACGACAAGTGAAAATGATACGAAATTGAAATTTCAGCGTCCGTCCCTAAAGGTGCCTCAGAATGCAGCCATGCCAGTTTGTTTCGGGTTGTCTCTGGCTGCTTTTGTGCTGCCGTGCAAAGTGCAGTCGTCGTGACAGGCACATGGCCCGCGGCCTGAGATACTCATCACCTGACCCTTTACAGGAAAAGTGTGCTGACCCCTGGGCTAGAGAGCATTGCCCGTACACAGCAAGCCTCAGTGTGCTATAGCTCTTTGTTTGTTTTTTAATTTTTTTTTAACGTTTATTTATTTTTGAGACAGAGAGAGACAGAGCATGAACGGGGGAGGGGCAGAGAGAGAGGGAGACACAGAATTGGAAACAGGCTCCAGGCTCTGAGCCATCAGCCCAGAGCCCGACGCGGGGCTCGAACTCACGGACCGCGAGATCATGACCTGAGCTGAAGTCGGCC